AAACTATTCATCCGGGAAGGGTCCACAAGGGTCACACGGGCATATTCCATTCAGCAGGCCAGCCGGTCATGGGCAGACGGTCTTGGCCAAGGACCGCCGGAGCAACGGTGCGCCGAGTCGGTGTTGCTGCTAGGCCTACTATATTCTGCCGAGCTCGCTTGGTCGGTAGAATCGTGGCCGTTGTAGCTCTTCTCGGGTGTTTGTGGATCCTGCGTTCTTGATCGTCGTGGTCTGTTTCAAGTACTCCTTCCTTTTTTCTTGCTGGTTGAAGTCGGGACGCACGAGAAGAGCACATAGAAAAATAAATGTTCGTTGGTCGTTGCTACCAACTGAGTGACGCTGTCGGCCATGTTGATTTGATCGTACAAAGTGCGAAAGACAGCTGCGGAGCTGTCGTAGGATTCTTTCGTAACCTGCGCATACGTTACAACAATTTCGTTTCGAGAATACGGGTTTTCTCTCATATTTGTCGCACACACTTTTTTCGTCGTAAGTTCGCTTTGAGAATCCAGCCTCAGAGCTGGTTTTGTCAGTGGTGCCGGGGTTGCCGACTTGCCGTGGTACAGCGTGCGTGCAGCCCTTGCACATCTCTAACGGCCACGTTGTCACAGGTCGTAAATCGTCGACGCGCCACCAAGTGGCAACGCTCGTAACCACAACAGCCACGCCGTAGCCTTTCCCGTCTGGCACAAGTGACGTCACGAATGCGCCCAATATCCCAAGACGCATCGCGCTCTCCGATGGCTGATTTTTGAGCGCACGCGCCCAATCGGGCCTTTCAGGGTGAGAAATATAGCCATCCGTTCAAAATACAAACGCGCGATTATGATTTACGGATATCATTGATCATATTAAACCTATTTCTGACCATAATAGGTGTATTTCGAGTTTTGCTTCAGTATCCCTTTAAGTGAGGCTCATGCCGAAAATGGCATGCGAGAGCTCAGAACATCGCCACCAGGCGTGTCACGTTTGAAAGGATCAACTGTCGAGCCAGTCCGACACAGACGCTGAATACGACTTTTCCACTGCCAACTAGGACCGAAACTTCTTGGGCACGCAACACATGACTCAGTCGACGTGTGAACAGATTGCCGGTAATTCCATCAAAAACGAAACAGAACGAAACTGACAAAACCTCGAAATGTCTACCGCTGCGATGGCTGGGCTGTGTTGATGGGCCATGTTGAAACACGGCCGGTCTAGAGCGGAGAGGCGCGCTCTTCTTACGGCCTTCGCTCTCGCTGAGGGAGCAATGCGATTTTTTCTAGTCGTGTAACGCCACTACTTCCCGCGTGAAGGCGCTACCACCCTGACCTCCCCCAAATCACGCCGAGCCGCCGAGCCGCGCTGGCCGCTCCACACTTCAACTGTATTCGAGTGTTTTGACGCTTCCTTTGTTTCCGATGCGTGATCACGCATTTGACTGCCTTCATTCCGATCAGTTGAAAGTTTCGAGCGGACGAGGCTGAACGACTTGCCTGAGTGGACAATGTATCGCACGCCGTGTATCGGATATCGCGCTGATGGTGTACTGCTGTGTGCCGTTGTGTAAATCCCGGTCTGGGAAGACTCCAGGTATTTCTTTTCATCAATTTCCGAGCGACGAAGAACTGTGTTCTAAATGGAAAAAGAACATTTCACGAGAAAATCTGACTATCAACGACAAGTCGGCCTCAACTGTCGTTTGCAGCAGACATTTCCGTCATAGTGACTATGTTGCTGACTGCCGCATCAAAAAGCTCCTTCCGGGTGCCGTGCCGACCGTCTTTGAAGACTATCCATCCTACCTGGCGCCAAGGGCGAAGAAGCCTCGCAAGGACCCTGTACCTCGCGATTCCCTACCCCCTCAAAAACCAACGAAGCGGAAAGCCGAAACAGCTGAATACTCGCACGACGTTTGTGATGCGTCGGACGGCGTTCCCGACCAGAAACCTAGTGTTTGCACACAAACGACAAACCATGACGCTCAGAGAGCAAGCCGTTATCTTTCCATGATCGGAAGACTTCGCTCTCAGGTCGCATACTACCGCTCCAAAAGCGGGAAGCTTCTGCAACAGCTCGCTGCCGAAAGAAAAGTGACCAGCTTCTATCGTGAAGATGAGCGGTACACTTCTGTCAAGAAGATTGCTGCAGATTCGGAGAAGGGAGAAAAAAAGGCGCTGTTTCTTCTTCACCAAATAAAAAGCTACGGGAAGAAACGGCTAAGCTACCCCGAAGAGATCATCAGAGAATGTGTGATATGGCGATTTCTTTCGCCTAAAGGCTATGATCATGCTCGAGCATCGAAGCTTCTGACACTTCCAGCAAAGTGCACTCTTCAGAGATACACAGGCCCAAGTCCGACATCATCGGGAATGAGTGCCGCCATAAAAGAAAGGTTGATTCACGAAGCCTCAATGCTCAGCAGCAAGCAGCACATGGCGTCATTAATCATTGACGAGGCTGCCGTAAAGCCTAAGTGCATTTACGACAGGAAAGGTGATGCAGTGTTTGGCCTCAGGGACAAACCGGATAGCAGTACGCCCTCTAGCTCAAAAGAAACACTCGCAAACAGGGTCCTATGCTTCGTCCTCAATGGCATTACTAGCTCGTACAGGATACCGTGCTCCTACTATTTCACGAGGCAGCTGAGTGGAAGAGACCTCTTTACGTGGACCAAGGAAGTCATCTCAGCTGTGGAGTTGTGCGGGTTCGTGGTCGTTCGCATTGTGACGGACAATTATTCCGGAAACACGACGATGTTCAAGCACATGGGAAATGGCTGCCTGTCAACAGTTGTCAACCATCCGGATGATCATGACCGAATCATCTTCCTGAGCTTTGACCCTTGCCACATTCTCAAGAACGTCCGAAGCCAGTTCCTCGAACGCAAGCTTACCGATGGCTCAGGTGTCGTCAGTGGTATGTTCGTCCAAAAACTTTATGATTACCAAAAGGGCATGACGATCAAACTGGCACGGAACTTGACAAGGAAGCATGTCTACCCATCAAACCTAGAGAAGATGAATCTGCTTCGTGCCGTGCAAATATTCTCCCCACAGGTAATTGCAGCCTTAGAACACCTTCAAGGAAACTCACGCGGTGATCCTGCTCTTTATGTTTTCAAAGACGCAAGCCCTACCATTCGTTTCATGAAGACAATTAAGGAATGGTTTGACATTCATGACACGACCTACGCAGGAAGTGCACAGAAAGGCCCATCTCAACGAAGGACGACCCTCGACTCGTGTGGCTTGAAAACGAGTTTCCATGCTACGTGAAGGGCATCCAGGAAACATCCGTGGCTTCAGGAATGAATGCTTTCACAGATGAGACCTTCCAAGCCTTGCTTTTTAGCACGAAGTCAACTGTGGAGACAACAAAGTTCCTTCTAGCAAAAGGCGCCAACTTTGTCCTGACAAGAAAGCTCAACAGCGACCCCATCGAAGCACTTTTTGGGAGAATAAGGTCCGTGTGTGGTGGCAATGACATGCTCGATGCAAGGGCTGTGACGGCGGCTCTAGATCACATTGTGAAAGAAAAGACTCTGCCTGCTGCAGGGGACGTCAAGATACCCGATGCTGACACCAAAGACCTCGCTCCAGCTCTACCACCAGCACTAATTGAAGAACTCAGAGGCCTAAGAGAACATCCCGGTGCTCCTTCACGCTCTGTGACCTACTCTGGACTTGGATACGTCGGTGGGTATATTGTGAAGCTTATCAGTGACTTTGGATGTGATTCTTGTGTAATGCTTCTGACGACAAGCAAGAAAAATGACCCCTTGTTTATGCTTGTGCAATGTCAAGACAGTAGTGGACTCTATTACCCAAAGCCAGAGTTTCTTGCTCTCTTGGACAAGGTAGTGTCCTTCTTTGAAAAAGCAGTGAAGCACATGCCACGGACAAATGTTCTCCGATCCCTGCAAGTACTGATTGAACCATATCTTGTTGACTCGCCCATCCTGAGCTGTCCTGAAGGTGTCGACAACAGTCACGCCAAGCGGTCGGCTAGTTTGATTTCTGAAAAGCTGGTCAGGATCCTTCTCGTTAACTATGCAAGAAAGGTTACGGACAATAATGACAGGCCGTCTGCTTATGTACATAAGCCGTCGAGAAAGCATTTCAGGCTGTAAACTTGTAAGTTTGCCTCGTGTAATTTTCGTGGCGTACTGCTTCAGAAAGCCTACTTGTTTAGCGTGAATAAACACGGTACATTGTTACTATCTGTCCCAAAATGGCAGTCCGATTGTGCTTTTATTTTTTGTTTGCTACAATAGCGTGCATAGAAAAAGATTGATGTTATAAGCACTACAGCCCATGACCACTTTCACGTTCAAGATTTGTTGCGGCTGAAGCGCGACACCTCCCGTAGTAATTGGCCTATTTTTTTTTAAATATACATATAAAGCAGAAAGATAAATATCTCTGTGGGTATTTGGCTTTCTGCCGTGGAGTTCTTCTAACAAGCGCAGTAATTTTAAAACTCGATCTTGGAGCGTACGAAGCGCGGTGGCACAGAAAACGCGCGAGCGCGAAGCGCGCCTCGTACGGAGGGCAGGGGTAGGGCGGTAGCGCCCCCACGAGCTGCGGCGACAGGGAGAAACCACCCCCCGTGCGAAGGCCGTAAGAAGAGCGCGCGCCTCTCCGCTCTAGACCGGCCGTGGTTGAAACAATAAAACCACTATTTTGATGGTTTACAGACGTGACGTCACAGACGTCGAAATAATTTTTTGATATTTTCATAATGGACGTCGAAATAGTCACTGCCTTTTCTTTCTCTTTTAATAAAATATTTTTCAAGGAGCTTGGTTATGATCATTCTATCTGATATGCCTAAGATATCTCATTGCTATTTGTGATTTATTTTTACATAGAGCCAATGCAAAAATTCACGATTTTCTTGAAACCGATTGTTATAAGCTATATATTTTTATATGTGGTATCATTATAAGTGATTTGCACTGTGTATTATGAATGACTAGAGTAACACCACGGTTTCGTCTCCCTCTCTTGCAGCATAAGAGTCCGTATGTGAGGTGCCTGTACTTCGCCATTGCCTGTGGCGGTGACTCGGACACGATAGCGGCGATGGCGGGCAACATTGCTGGCGCCAGACATGGAATCTCGTCCATCCCGGGCGTCTTGCAGAGGCAGTGCAAGGGCGTCGACGAGATGGCTCGGTTAGCAGAGAGCATAGAGGAGGCTGTCTTTAAGTGACCCTGACGGGCACCCACTTCACTTTGACGAGCACATTGAAGTTATATACTACCAATGTGCGACTGGGATGTCACACTGCTGCAATGGTGCTGCTGTCGGCGTGGCGCATGCACAGACACTTCACAGGAATCTGGTTGCTACACATGCGCAGGGCCCACAGTGTGGGAAAGCATGGGCTTGTTTGTAAACAGCGTGTTGCTCTATACCGCTATGTACAGTTGTGCTAACAGTTACAGGGGTTAAGACACGAAAATTAAACATATAGAGGACTTTGAAAATGAAATGCTCATAGGTTACTTAGTAGATTCACCAAGTTTCATCATTTTAGGGGCTCTAGTATTTGCAAGGATCAATTTACCAATGTTAATCTTTTGCATTTGGCTACAGAATTTCAGTGCCGTCTACCCACATTAGTCACATCATAGTCTCAATAAGCTACGTGATCATGATCATGTAGTTGAACGCCCTCTCAATTTATGGTTTTGTCTCCTTATCAGGTTTCATTCAAGGTCGAAGTTTGCAAATGCTTCTCGAGGATTTCTTTGATATTCTAAATTCATCCTTTGAGTGCATTAAAGTTGCTTGTGCACTCTTTTTGAACGTAGGCAAGTCATTTGACAGTGTATGCCACAGACTGTTGATAGCAAAACTTTCGAGGTTGGGATTTTGTAGTTCACTGCGATAAAAGTGCTGCGCCATTTGCGCCGAATTGCGCTATTAACGAAGGTGTGCTTCATCTTGCTCCAAAGTGCCATTTTTGCTAAGAATTTCCCCCACACCTGTACCGAGGTGAGCTTGAACAAAGCAAAAAATAAAAATATTTTAAAATCTGTTGTTTTTAATAATCAGGAAAGTAGAAGGAAACGAAAATGGTACAAACATGTATTTCATCTACCCACTGTATAGTGTGTTTTGTCTTAGGTCAGAGCACAGTTAAAAGCTCAAACACAGTCACAAACATATGCTAAAAGTGCAAGTCTAGGGGGAGTTGAAGTACTTGATGGGTTTATTTAATGAAATAGCCCATACAGATAATTGACAAAGGCCGGGATGTGCTTTCAATGCTGCGTGATTGGTCCCATTGACTCGTGGCGTCCCCTGCGCTTTGACTTAAAGGGGCACTCAAGTGGATTCTGAGATCGTCTATTTATTATCATGACTCAAACTCTCAAACTGCGGGCTCTAAGCATCCTATAAAACCTGAAATCTCATTCAAGAGCGGCAGATTTCCCTATTAAAAATTCAATCAAAACTTGCGCTGTGCCCTCCCTAGCGAAAATTCTAATAGAAATTTCTAATAGCCTATCGGTTTATTGACACTTTGTATTAGTCTATTAGCTCTATTAGTTGTATTAGCCTATTAGTTGTATTAGTCTATTAGTAGTATTAGTCTATTAGTTATATTAGCCTATTAGTTGTATTGGTCTAGCCTATTAGTTTTAGTTATATCGGCATGCTATTTACCTACTGCATTACGTGGCTTGTTAAGAGTACACGGTGTAGCTTGTTTAAGATAATAAAATTTATTCTCCCATTCATACAAATCTCACGTTCACGCAAACCTCTCAATTTAAATCAGCAATCTTCCTAGCCAGAAGCTTGTTCATCCCTGCCTTGCAAACCTTGCGTGTTGTCTCGTCGGTGCAGGTTGTGTCCACATAGTGCCCAAAGAAGCCTGAAAGAGATAATGAATTTGCAGTTTAAAGTGACAGTATCCATAAGAGATAATTTGTATGAGCACCAAAACGCTATCACAAGGTGGTCCAAGCCAGAGGGACACAAACTGTTTGGGCCTCCGACCACTAAAAACAATTTAGCAGCATCCGGTAACCCTCTTTCGAACCATTTCTGGGCTAGATTTGGAAGCTCTCGCAGGCCCCGCAACCTCCACTTCATGCACCTGAGTAAGGAGTTCTGGCAAAACAACCCGAGAAGCAGCTTGCATTGGGATCACTCGACGAAAGAAACCACCGCTCGATTGGCTGACAAACGCCGTTTGGCAACGGTTCGAGTTCTGTGATATATCGCAGAAAAACTGATTATCACATTTTAATACGAAAATCGGTGGCGCAGGATTATAATGTTTAGGTTCTTGGGATGCACGACGCATGACCAAGAGTGGACTATCTCAGAAACCTCTTTGGTGCCCCTTTAAGGGAAACTCGCAGCGCTAAACTGTTTAGACTATTTGCAAATAATTATAACTTTAAAAAAATACTATTCAATTAAGATTACAAATTGAGAGCAATATTGAATCTATTCTCAGAAATTTTAATTTTTGAGCATCCCTACTCGATATCAACTAATTATATTTTAGACTGAAATAGGTAGAATTGGGCCTCCGACCACTTGTAGTTCAAAGCAAATGTTTGTATGCATTCTTTTCAGTTCCTTTACCATGGTACACTATTTACAGCTTGACAAAGATTTGCAGAGGAAACTGCTACGGCAGGTAGTTAAGAAACCTGATACATAAAATTTTCGGGAACAGCATGCACATTTCGAAAGAAATACCTCCGGACCATCATCCCTAAGAGGTCTTTCATACGTTTTTGCCATTCTTTTTGTACCAAATCTACAGCAACCTCACAGAACCGCTGAGAAAAAAAAGCACGTCGTAACTGCGAACGGAACAGGCACTCTAGATACTACAAATGCACCGCACACTAAGATAAGAGGTATATATATAGACTAAATTTCATGCTTTGATACTTACCACGCATCTTCATGATTTGGGCTCGAAAATAGCCAGTTGATTGGTGTCCTTCCACCACACGTCGTACCAACGGTTGGCGTTGAAGTCCGTAAGTCCAACTGTGCTCAAATTCTTTATATCGTTACACGAAATAACGACGTTCGCGTCGCCGTCCTAAAACCAGACGTAAACATGCATGTTTCCGCACAAGTAGACAGGATAAGATTTTTCCGACACACGTGTTACTTTGCATTTGGGGGGATTCGGGGGATTAAGGACTGCTGTCAATTTGAAGTTTTGAAGGATGTGCAGTATGCTGCCGCTGCGGCGCCACCAGTGCGACAACTACCGTCACGTGAAAATTCACGTGTTGGTACGAAATAATCTTAAAATACAATTTGCATTATAATACTTATGAACAAATTTTGCTAATGTTTCAAATGCCGCCCTGCAGCCTCCAATTAACTCGCAGCCGCAAAAACGAATGCCAGCAAATCCATTCTGGTAGCCACTTCTATCCATAGCCATAGCCATAGATCTTCCAACAAGGAAAAATGGCGGACAATTCGGGCGGTTCCGTGGCGGTTGGCTCCTCGGATGTTTCAGGTCTTTCTCGTTCACACCAAAATGCCTGCGTATGCAAACGAAAAAAGTACCTGGAGCCTGGCGCCGAATACCGAGAACAACAGAGCTACAGCGCAGGAAAAGAGCAAGCGCTGCCGTGCCGCAGGCAAGCGCAGCGGCAGTATACCGATACCGCAAGAATGCGACGGCGAATCCGGCGTTCACGGAGCCTACAGCCACAGAGCCTACACATCTTTTTCCTTGTAATTTTTTTTCCTCTCTCTGCTGTTATTGGGCACAACTAAGTTCCAATTTCGAACTTGCCGGTTATTTCTGGAACTCGTGGTTCTCGAAATTAATCAAATCTTCCAGACTTTCCCCATGACACATATTCAAAACTTTTATAGAGCCATAAATGCTCCAGGTAGTGATGTTTTTAACCCATCTTGTATAGCGTTCAAGTGTTTCCTTAATTATCACTAGAATTTTCGTACCCCATTTTTCTATATGTATATTGAACTCCATTACAAAGGCAAAAGCTGTTCATGAGCACGAACAATAAATGGATGGATGAATGAATGAATGGTCCATCTTCGTTTTTTTGAGTTGTAGATCCAATGAAGACAATTTGTTGTGAACATTCACTCCCGTTTGATAAAAAAAATTACAAAGCAGAAACCTCTGTTTGCCAGCAAAGTATCGGCGGGGACGAGCTCACAATTAAGGGTTTCCACATTTAATAAATCTCAGTTATTCGTTCATACTTATATGGTGGTGTCGAGTTTCAATTGTTCTAATATGCCCATTTAATATTGTAATAGAATATCTGTGCTACAAGTAGTCTAATGAGCATTCCATTTGTTTATTAGAATGTGTAAATTTGTCTAATTATTATTCTATAAGACTAACAGAATGATTGTATTAGTCTATGAAACTTTGTATTATTCTAATAGAAGGCATACATTAACCTAATAAATATTTCTATTAGACAAATACAGTTTTGTATTAGTCTAATACACATCTCTACTCATGTGATAAAGATGTATATTAGTCTCATAGAGATTCCTATTGGTCTCATACAAGTTGCTATTAGCCTTATAGGGATTCCTATTAGTCTCATAGGAGATGTTATTAGTCTCATAGGCATTGCTATTAGTCTTATAGGAGTTCCTATTAGTCTCATAGAAATGTCTATTAGTCTCATAGATATTCCTATTAGAATTTTTGCTAGGGCTCTTTCTGCGCCGTGGTGCAGAACACCAGGGAGTGCTTCGGGATGGGAAGGCAGCAGGCGAGTGCTTGCGACAGCCAATCACGAATGACAGCTTCGTAGCAGACTGATTTTTCAAATGCGCACGTATTCGAAAATTCTGTCCGCTGGGAAGCCTTCATTCGTGATAGGCTGTCGCGCGCCCTTCCCTGCTGCCCTCCCGTCCGTTGGCACCCCTTGGTGTTCTGCACCACAGCACAGAAAGAGGGACGCGGCACAATCTTTGATTAGATTTTTAAGAGAGCAATTGCCGCTCTTGAACGTGATTTCGGGCTTTTTAGGATGCTTAGAGCCCGTAGATTAGTTATGATAATTAATAGATGATCTCAGAATCCACTTGAGTGCCCCTTTAAAGGGGCACTGACACCCCAAAGGTCGTATTTATTTTTATTGTCTAAAACGATGCAAGTTGCAGTCATAAACACGCAAAAAAAACCGCATCGCGAAAAAAAATTTTCCCGCGCGCGCGCGCGCCTTTTTATTTTTGGCGTTTGATTTTCCCGCCTCACGCCTCCTCGCTTCTTTTGATCGGTGACGTCAAAAATCAGGAAATTTAGAAGCTTTGTAGGCGACATCTCTATAACATTTAATTACGGCAATCCTAAAACATGTTTTTTAACGCAATTGCGAACGCACTACGGCCCTTCTTTTTGAAATACCAAAAATCGGGAGTTCGTTGTGGTGCCGTCTCCTGGATTTGTATCCTCCAACGGCAAACAGGCGACACCGCTCAAAACCGGTCCGCCGAAACCTCGCCGCTCGCTCCTTTCCTCCTCGCTTTGGGTCGCCATGGCAACAGCAGGGAGTGGTGAAAGCAAGTCGACTCTCAGGTCTCCGCAATTTTTGACGTCAAGGCACCGGCGCCGAAAGCGCGGGAACTTCGAATTCGGCATTTGGAAATTGTTTTTTTTCTTCACAAATACTGAATTCCCAAATTTCAAATTTTGAGGGGAATGTCCCGGCATCGTTTTCAATCGTTTCGGATAATAAAAAAAAATATGATTTTGATGTGTCAGTGCCCCTTTAAGATGAAACGAAGTCTAGAGCTTGCTCTCAACCGCGCTGGCCCCGTCATCGTCTGAATTAGAAGACGATGTCGGGAGCTAAAAGTCGGGTCTGAGGGGACAATAAATAAAATCAGATTGTCCCAAAAACCCATCCATTCTTTCTACCGGGTGATTCAAGGAGACGGCAGGCTCTTTAAATTGACCGGAAAATTCGGTTTCAACCTATCGCGCTACGACTTTGTGCAGCGTTGCCCGCAGATGGTGCTTTTTTTTTTTTTTTTTTTGTAAAATT